CGCATGCATCTCTCCATTCTTCTGGCTTTGCTCTGAGGAATAATGCTTTTATTTATATGGCTTATATACTTCTGCCTTATCTAGGTGCATAATGTTCCTCGCTTAACAGCTTACAGGATTTAGCTGTGGTTTAAGCTGAATTTGCGGTATTTTTTAACACGGTGTCAGAATTTGAGGCACCTGACCTTGACAGATCTTAATGTTCTTGAGTTCATGTCGGTCATGAGGTCATGAGGTGGCATTGTTCTCATAAAATATAGGTAGCGCCTATAAATCGCAGGAGATGTTCTCCAAGGAGGCTTTCAAGACTGTGCTTTAAACTTTTTTCTCTTAAGTGCTTTACCAACGTCCTGAATATCTTTGCAACTTCAAATCTTCCATGGTTGAACAAGGTCAGACCTTGACCATTATAACCAGATTTGACCTAAACAAAGCCATACATTTACAAATTAAATGCATGCATCTTAAGGCTTTGAAAGATCTTTTCTGGCAGTGCCTCTCCCATTGATGGAGCTTATCTAGTTCTTAACATAACTGGGTGGACCGACTCAACAAAGTCTTCACCATTTTGACCTGGCATTATATGTCACAAGTTATATGTGTCGATTTTCACTGCCCCCCTCCCCATTTGATGGAGGTTTTTCGAGGTATTCAACCCCGTTTTTGCAGTGTTATATCAAGCATAGTTATTAAGAGAGAGGGCGGGACGAAGTGGTATGAAGTGCTAATTTGACACCTGCGAGTTCATTTGACTAATCCATAGAACATCACAGCCCCATTGAGTGCTAATTTGACGCCCACGATCTAATTTGACCTGTCCTTGGTACCGTTTAGGATTGTTCAGCCACCCTATCTGAAGCAGTTTGTCGGAACTTTCCAATCTGATTTTCCGTGCTTTTTTTGCTTATCTTGCTTAGTTTTCATCATATCACGAGACCTCTGAGGCCTGTCTCGTAGAAGAAATGTGAAGTTGACTGTGGTTGGATGCAGCCGAATGTGTCTAGTGTATACATAGTCTCAGTGTATGCTTGACTCAGAATCCACTTCAACACGATGAGGACTCGAATAGTGGCGAGATGCACGGTGTGTGCTGCACACAATAAGAAGTTTGCTTTGGTATCGACCCGTTTTACGTTCAGAAAATGCCTGGTGATTGCTGCCCGGTTTCGTACTGCGGAAGTGGAGCGAACAAGGCAGCTGCCTTAAATCCATATCTTCGAAATAGGTGAACAGCGAATTCGTCCAAACGTGTGCGATTTTACGAGACGTCCGGGCCGCATAGGACCCTTATTCTAACACGAAACACAAGACGCAAACGGGATGTGACCCGTCCTGCCCCGCCTCGTAGCACCTTTCCGCAACGGACTAGCCTGTGTCTGCGCACACGTTCTATGGAATTCGTCAGCTTTGTTGTAAAACATACCGTATCCATTCCACATCGGCCGGGACGTGGAGTGAGATATGCAGCACAGCAATAGGCGAGCCAAGTGACAGCCGTCACATTTAGATTTTCACTGGCGCACGGAGTTGACAGAAAACAACCGCTACATCAGCCTGCCCGGCTTGGCTGACCCGGCCGGGCAGCTCTGGGCCGCTGCATCAGCCTGCCCGGCTTGGCTGGCCCGGCCGGGCAGCTCTGGGCCGCCACATCAGCCTGCCCGGCTTGGCTGACCCGGCCGGGCAGCTCTGGGCCGCTACACCAGCCTGACCGGCTTGGCTGGCCCGGCCGGGCAGCTCTGGGTCGCCACATCAGCCTGCCCGGCTTGGCTGGCCCGGCCGGGCAGCTCTGGGCCGCTACACCAGCCTGACCGGCTTGGCTGGCCCGGCCGGGCAGCTCCGGGCCGCCACATCAGCCTGCCGGCTTGCCTGGCCCGGCCGGGCAGCTCTGGGCCGCTACATCAGCCTGCCCGGCTTGGCTGGCCTGGCCGGGCAGCTCTGGGTCGCCGCAGCGCCGCACGCACGCCACCATTGCGAGTGACACGACGTGCGCGGTGGACACGAACACCGGCTCGTGGCGCCCCGGCCGGCGCGGGGCACGCGGGCCTGACACCGCGCCACGATCAGCACGAAAACAGCACAGCTCCTGCCGCCACCGGCACACACGAGCCACGAGCGCCCGGCCGGTAGGCACGGCCCGCTTGCGACACGGACAATGTCGCTCGGTGTCCACGAAATTTCCTGAACAATGCCATGGCTCCAATGGCCGGCGGCCACTCCAGCAGGCGGTGGTGTCAAGGCCCCGACGGCATTGAAACACTATCAGCAAGCTGCGGCATTGTGGGAGACTTGGATACGGTCTGTCCGGAAATTATGAGTCATGCTCGTGTGCCCGCGGGGCATTCAGGTTGACATGCCAGTAGGGAGGCTGGCCGCTACCTCCGGCCCGAGGGGCGCGCTCTCCATCCGGACCCGAGACAGGGCTCGCCTGTGGTGGCGCAGCCCACGCCAGCAGCCCGCATCGCCCGCACCCGTCCGCCGCCGAGTACGTCACGAGCCGTGCTGTGACGTCACGCACGCCCTGCACGCCCTGGTACGGCCGGACGGCTTAGGGAGGGTGGGCACGCCGCCCATCCGATTCCGCGGAACAGGACGGCCGCTATCATCGAGGACGCGAACAGGCCGCCGCCGAAGGTGAAGCTGGAGCCAGCCTCGGCGGCGCTAGATCTGACACGCGGCGGCGTCTGAAACGCGGATGTTATTCTGCTCCGTTAGGCAGAAAAGCATGCGGATGGCATCAGCACATGCTTTTGTCGCTATTTAATGGTATGCCAAGGCCAGTTGCTGTCACATTCAGGTGGAACTTGAACCTCGTGGCATGGCTTCATACCGTCGACCCTTAGAGTAGGAGATAGTGCATGCATTTATCGCGGCCTTAATTGACTGGCGTAGGAACAGCAAAGTTGGAAGGGGAGAGGGGGAGGTCGTCGCCAGCCTACTTCCCATAAGTTAACCGTCTGCAGACGCATGCCAATGACTCACTCGGATTTGGTTGGACCCGTCTTTTTCAGGCACGTCTGCCAAGACGCTGGTGTGCCAAGATGACTGATGATATGCATGTTTGGTGCACGACATTGGACGCGAAGTACTTTAAGTGCAGTATGCATGACACTTCAAAATCCCTCTCAGGTAATCATATGCACACATTCGAACCTCTTCGATGACGGATGAAAATCATGCTTGCTTCACCGCCATTTTAGTCGCTGTCATCTCGATCATACCATCATGACAATCATGGCTGGAGCCGGGAACAGGAGCACATTGCACTGATGCATCGTGAAGCGGTACACTAGCACGGATGGGCGACGCCAACCATGGACGAACTGGGGAGAAGATTTATGGGGAAGGGGCAAGGGGAGAGGGACAAGGACATCTTGAGGTAAACCTCATGCAATGCCGCAGCATTGATGTGAAGTCAAAATTACGGAGGTACGCGGCGTCCCTGTCCATCGTCCACGGCGCCGCCTCTGCGGTCCTGCGGCGGGCGGAAACGCGGCGTCCCTGTCCATCGTCCACGGCGCCGCCTCTGCGGTCCTGCGGCGGGCGGTAACGCGGCGTCCCTGTCCATCGTCCACGGCGCCGCCTCTGCGGTCCTGCGGCGGGCGGTAACGCGGCGTCCCTGTCCATCGTCCACGGCGCCGGCTCTGCGGTCCTGCGGCGGGCTGTAACGCGGAGCTCGCCGCAGGACCGCAGCGCCGTGAGAGCGGTGGCCGCGCGCCGGCCCGGCGCCCGGCGTCGGCGGCCGCTGCCCCGCTCGACAATAGCGACGTCACCCGACGCCGGATGTGCTGCCGCTTCCGACACGGCCCGCTGCAGCGGGCGCCGCGCCGTCCCGGGGGAGCGCCCGCCCCGGCGCCCCGACCGGCCCGGCCCGGCCCGGTGCCAAACCCGCGGCAGCCGGGGAGCGCCTGCCCCGGCGCCCCCGGCCCGGCGCCAAACCCGCGACAGCCGGGGAGCGCCCGCCCCGGCGCCCCGACCGGACCGGCCCGGCCCGGCGCCAAAACCCGCTGCAGCGGGCGCCGCACCGCCCGGGGAGGCCTGGCCCGGCGCCCCCGGCCCGGCGCCAACCCGCGGGACAGCCGGGGAGCGCCTGTCCCCGGCGCCCCGGCCCGGCGCCAAACCCGCGGCAGCCGGGCGGGGCGCCGGCCGCCGCGCCGCACCGGCCGCCGGGCCCCTTTCCTGACCCTGGACCGCCCGAGTCATGCAGGCCGGCCGGAAACCGGCCGCGGCGGCTGACCGTAACTCTGCAGGCGCCGCGCCGCCGCCGCCGCAGCCCGGCTCCAGCAAGCGGCGGCGGCGGCGCTGCTGGCCGATGTCGGCTGCTGCCAGCCGCGGAGAGCGCTGAAGAGACGGGCTTCACTCGCCCGCCGACCACGCAGATATGGGAGTGATGTGGCGGCCAGCTTGGCGCCGCTTGAGTTATGTCGCATGACAGCGCCAAAACGGGAGTATTCGTGATATGCAAGTCCGAACGGTCTGAAACGTGCAATGGCTGACTCGTGCACATGCAAGTTTGGTTGGCCATTGGTGAACAACAAGTTATGGGGGAGCCAAAGCCGTGGTCGCAGTCATGGAGGCATGCCCGTGCACGCCCGCCGCTGCGTGCTGGCAAGCTAGCCTATCATGTTATCAAATGCGGGATTATGAACTATGAATCATACACTACGTCCCGAAGTGCACATAAATGAACAAAGGGAAAAGGCAAAACACTTCCCCAGCGAAAGCTGTCGAAAATGCTGATGACGCCAACGTCAAACTCTGTTTTTCCCATTTCGATACAAAGTTATTGCATTTCAATAAGGGTCAAATAAGGTACGTTCCGATTCCAGCCATTGAAAGCATTGCAAACGGCTGTTGTGCAGCAGCCGAGCTAAGTTCGCAATTCGCTCTGCAGATGGCGGCCCACCACTCGCACGCCCAGTTCGTCAATGCCAGGTGGTCTGAGCTCAAGGGGTACGACCGGGAGCAGATCAAGGACAAGAGCGTGCGGCGCCAGCCTGCAGATACTCTCCCAACGAGGCGCGGCCGCGCTGCCGGATCCCAAGCTCGAGGAGGTGAGACACTAGAGGTGGAGGTCTGTTAGGTGAGGTGAGGTCGGGTCTGTTAGGTTAGGAGGGGGTGAGATGTGTTGGTGAGGTGAGGGTCGGGTGTGATAGGTGAGGTGAGGGCGGGCCTGTTAGGTTAGGAGGGATGAGGATGTTGTTGGTGAGGTGAGGGTGGGGTCTGTTAGGTGAGGTGAGGTCGGGTCTGTTAGGTTAGGAGGGGTGAGGATGTGTTGGTGAGGTGAGGGATGGGGCCTGTTAGGTGAGGTGAGATCGGGCCTGTCACATCTTATAGGTAAGGGAAGATGGGACTTAAGCGCGTGAACGGACGGGAAAAGAGAGTGGGCGGGGAATGAAGCTTTAACAGCTGAGTGAATGGAAAACGATTGACTGACAGAACGCGGCAGGAATATGTAAGGGACGAATACAAAAAAAAACGGTAGATGGCGCAGTGGTAGACGGTAACCCAACCGATAGAACGGAACTCAAACATCTTAGAGACATGTATAAAAAGTGTTAACGGAGCGAGATTAGGGGATATTATGAAGCGAGACTATGGGGATGAGGAGACAATGTTGCCGGAGATGGGGAAGGGTGGAATTCGAAAGATGTGGGGAGACTTACGAAATCGAACGACGGAGCCAGAGGAGACCAAGCAGCTGGACTTAAGTGGGTGGGAGAAAGCCAATAGAGCCGTCGTAGCAACGGGGCTAGCGAAGGCGTGGGCGACAGCACCAGAGCAGGTGTGGAACAAGAACAGGGCGCACGAAACCATGCATAGTAGATGTCAGGACGGGACTAAGGATGTTGTGACTTATAGGATTCCAGTTATGCGTCCAAAACCACCCATCGAGTGTTGGAGACGTTAAGGCTGTGTCTCACGTGGTTTCCGCATTGTTCTCACCATTGTTCTCACCATTGTTCTCACCATTGTTCTCATCATTGTTCTCACCATTGGTGCTTTAATACCGCCTTCGTTCCAGTATGAACGCATTCAAAAGAACATGCAAAAGGCGTACAATGAAGCGACGATTTGCGACAAAACGCAAGAAAATTGCAAATTACGCCTTGAACCAGGTACGAATACGAATCAGGCAATTCGTCACTAAGCACACAGTCATCCAGTCAGGTTCACAGTGTTGTTCCACAACAATATTGATATAGTAGGAAATGTGCATTGTTCCTGTTAAAGAGAGTGTCCCACATTTGTATGGCGTTCTAAACTGGAATAGCCATTTTGCAGATCATTCCGTACAGCTCGCAGCCCTGCCCTTCTTTAAACCAAAACCGTTTAGATTCTAAGCTTCACACCAGCAAAGATGTGCTGACTATTTTGTGCAGACTATTTCAAGGCCATTCAGGTATGTATAACGACTAACGACGCCACTCAAATCCCGGCACCCAACAGGCAATGCGCCGTCAAGGGCCAAAAATAATATTATCGTCGAGCCGTTCAGATATGGCGTCCGTGAGCACGATTTCCGATGTTATGGACGTCAATTGGCTCTATTAATATTAAGTAATCCGTACAAGTTTCAATCACGTCTCGCCTTTTGTACTGCATAACATAAGAGGTTGGACATTCTTCCCAGCTATTACAGAAATAAGGCACGTAATCGAATGAGCTATGAAAGGCGCCATAACTATTGATAGCATAAGTATGTAAATATAGGCTAACTTCGTGCAAGATAACCATCAAAAAGGGTCAAAACTCGAACACATTATACCATTCATCTCAGCGAACACTTCCAGCACCGTGCCATCATCTCTTGGTGAGTTTGATGCACTATATGTAAGTGCTAAGATGGCAACAGCTTAACGCGTTTACTAAGACACTTGTTTAGTTAAGCATGACCGCCTGAATACATCCCACGGGCGTGGTATGCATGCACGAAGTCACCAGCAGGTCCGATCGGTTAAGTGGATCCATGGAATCATCGCCAGCTCTTAAACTGGGCACAGGAGCGTAATTCCGTAAAATGAGTTAGGAGGGGCTGAGCAACGAAAAATGATTAAACCTGCCTCGAAAACCCAAACAAACGGGGTTTCTCCGGATTTGAGCTTTCCTCTTCCAAAGTTGGGGGGGGGGGGGGGAGGGCATTGGGAATGTGACATTTCATCTCAGACAAATACTCTGATTTACGTACACCGCAGAGGTGTGGCCAGAGCTTTTGTGCAAGGATGGAGGGAGAAGAATTCATTGAAAGGGGCCCATTAGTGGTGAAAGATCCCAAAATTGGTCAAAAGTTTGTAGCAGCCATGACCGACAATGTTTGCCTGGAAATGTTTCGGCATTTAGTCAGAATCGATAAGTGAGAAAAAATCATGTAACGTAATTTTGAATACGCGCGATCGCAAATCTTGGCAGCGAACACCCTCACATCCGGCGCTGCGGTCTCCTCAGGCCGGGCGGCGTCGGCCCCGCCCCGATCCCGCGGCGAACGGTCATCATTGGCCAACGGGCGGACAAAAATGGTGACGCAGCTGAAAGAAGCACCTTTGAGTTCTTTAAGACGGACTAGCCTTCACACAGTACCGCGAAGTGGGGGCGGGAATCTAGTGGTGAAACTGGCATACGAAATATTAAATTCATGTTTTTCGTGTCTCTGTTATTGTTGATGTGTGTAGAAGACAATCTCAAATGAAAAAAGGTGCGCTCCAGTGTAATCTTTGAACGATACGAATTTATTTGTAAATAAATTCCAAGGCATAGACTCCATTCAACCCCCATCCCCGTCCTAACTTAGGGTGCAGGCCCCGCAATTTCGAGAAGAGAGGTGCCCAAATCAGGAGATGAACCCATTTGTTGGTGTTTTTCGGGTTGGTTTGAGTCATTTTTCGCTGTTCATCCCTCCGTCCAACTCATTTTGCGAAGCTACGACACTGTACTCAGTCCGTAGTTTGAGAGCCGGCGATGATTTTACGGATCTATTTCATCGATCGGACATGCTGGCGACATCCGTGCCTGTGCGTAATCCATAAACCACCCGAAAGTATTGCGGGGTAGTGCTTTAGATTGTTTGCACCATGCCCGTGGTGCATTTTCCGGCGGGTCATGCTTAACTAAACCAACAGTTTCAATATGCGCCACACATCACACAAACGTTCCATGACGCAATCAAACAATGACGTATTGAGTAGCATCTTTACTATATGGAACAATTGTGTTGTCTAGAGCAGGTCTTTCCATTCAAAGGCATGACAAGAGCTATAAGTAAACTTATTTCATCACATCCGATGTCTGCTTCATTATCTTCAAATGTGGAACCCCCTCTTTAAAGCAAGCACGCTTCGCATTAAACGCAGCGTTATTCCACTTTCAGTGTCGTATGTCATCTGACACATGCTTCCTCAAGTCTGTCGATACTGCCATGTGCAGCCTCCGACAGTCAGGAAATTATGACACCAGTTGCGGTCCGCGGTGCACCGTGTGTCGTATGTCGCATGTCGTATGTCGTACGTCGTACGTCGTTGATTAAGTGTGTCGTTGATTAGTATGTCGTTGATTAGTGTGTCGCATAAGCGCTGAACCCGACGCCGTTAGCCTTCACCGGGGCGTCTCACGGCCGCCGCAGACCTGAAGCAGCTGATGGCGACCGAGAGGGACCCGAAGGAGCTGGCTCGTGCCTGGACCAGCTGGAGAGACAGCGCCGGCAAGCCGCTGCGGCAGGACTACCTCACGCTCGTCCAGCTGCACAACGAGGCGGCGAAGCTCAACGGTTAGCGGCGGCGACGGCACGCTCCCCAGTACCGGCCTTGTAGTGGCCACGTTTGTCTGTCACTGTTTTAAAGAATTCATGCCGTGCATTTTCACTCCGCACCATCACGCAAATGCCACACGAGCAGCGGAAATCAGTAGAAAGGACTTCACAATACACAACACAAGTGTAAGTAATCGGACCTTAACGAATGAGTTTTTTACAATTATAGCACGTCTCCATATCCGGCCGCTGATGTGCTGTCCCAACAAAGCATGATTTAGATTTAAGGTTGCCTGCCTGCCGCCTGTCGGCCCGAGCCCCAGCGGCTGCGGCGCAGGGGGCTCTGACGGCGGCCTTACCCTGCCTCAGGGTTCGCCGACGGCACCGAACTGTGGCTGTCGGCGTACGGCACGCCCGACTTCCAGTCCCAGATCGCTCGGCTCTGGGATCAGCTGACGCCGCTGTACGAGCAGCTGCACGCGTTCGTGCGCGGCCGGCTGCGTCAGGAGTACGGCGAGGACGTGGTCAGCCAGGACGGCCCCATCCCGGCGCATCTGCTCGGTGAGAGGCGGCGGCGCACACGGCCAGCCGGGTCCTGAGGGCGGCTGCAAGGGACCTCTCAGACCCCGGGTCACATCGGGGCAGCACTGCACACAATGCTAAGCTTTCGTGGAACTCAGGTACTGGGGGAGGGTTTTAACTTTCAGCAGACTCGTGACCCGGGGTTAAGGTGACTTCGGGCGTCTGCATTGCTGATCTTGCTTCGAGTGATGCCAGTGGGCTGCGTTGTGCCAGGCGCGAGGCGTGGAACGCGGCAGCATGACCCACGCTCCCAAGCACAGGACTCACCCCTGGCTTCTGGTCTCCCACGTAACGTCTTGGCATGACTTGTTGGCCCGCTTAATGCCCTGCCGCCGCGGCCGGCCTGTTTAGCATCAGCACTACTCCTTTTTAACGAGAGACGCGGCGTATATAGAGCCACTTTGCCCGCCGTCAGGTGCAGTGAATGGCGCCCGGCCGGGGTGTTCTGTGAGAAGAGGCCACGATCTGACCCTGATAGTGGGTCGGTTCAGGGGTCAGGCCGACACACGGCCGGAACGGAAGCACAACAGTCACCCAGTTACCACGGGCACATAAATCAAGCTTAAGCTCTCAATCTGGATCAACTGCAGCCCGACCAGCCTGTTTCAAACTGCCGGCGTATTTTCCAGCCTACCGGAGCAAGAAGAATCTAGGCCTCCTTCCAGTATTGCCTCAACATTTTCCGTCGAGCAGCTAACATTGTTCTGCACGTCAGCCTTTGAACCCACCAAGCTGGCTTTTCCAGGCGACATGTGGTCCGAGAATTGGAGGCATTTGCTGGACATCTGCAAGCCGTACCCGAAGAAGACAGACGCCGATGTCACGCCACAGATGGAGGCACAGGTGAGCGATTGGACTTCTCGTCTGGAGGCACAGGTGAGCGATTGGCCTTCTCGTCTGGAGGCACAGTGTGAGCGTTGGCCTTCTCGTCGGAGGCCAGGTGAGCGATTGGACTTCTCGTCTGGAGGCACAGGTGACCGATTGGACTTCTCGTCTGGAGGCACAGATGAGCGATTGGACTTCTCGTCTGGAGGCACAGGCGAACGATTGGACTTCTCGTCTGGAGGCACAGATGAGCGATTGGCCTTCTCGTCTGGAGGCACAGATGAGCGATTGGACTTCTCGTCTGGAGGCACAGGTGAACGATTGGACTTCTCGTCTGGAGGCACAGATGAGCGATTGGCCTTCTCGTCTTGAGGCACAGGTGAGCGATTGGCCTTCTCGTCTGGAGGCACAGGTGAGCGATTGGCCTTCTCGTCTGAATGCTCAGAGCGATTGGACTTCTCGTCTGGATGCTGAGGTTCTTGTTAGCTACGTCCCTGCAGCTCTGACCATTCAACGCTTTTAGCTGCCACGGAGCCGGCGGGAGTTTCCTTGGGTGGACATCGGGCTCCAGGCTTCTGTGTCACTCAGCGTGACATGACACCTGATAATGTACGGATTCTTTCTTTCCTGTAAACTATATCTATCTTCGCCGATATGTGCTTTGAGGGAAAACTATCGGTCAGCGTATGGCAAATCAGGCATTTACAGTCGTGATTTTTCAGAAGAAGCACGCAGACCGCGCGCAGCCAGCGGTTTTGCTGTCGTTTTCCGCGAATGGAGGCGGAGGCAACTCCTAAGCCCTGTCAGTGGACACCAGGATAAGTTGCAGCCCGTTGCCGCCTTACACCTGCCGAGCAGTCTCTGTCCACCACAGGTTGTACTTGACCCGGCGCCTATCAGTTGTAGATGCAGCCACGGTCCCGACGGCGGTCCCGTCCAGACGATGGCGGACTGACACGTGCGCCGTCGGCAGGGCTACACGGCCATGAAGATGTTCCAAACGGCCGAGACGTTCGTCACCTCCATGGGCCTGCAGTCGGTGCCGCCGGAGGTTCTGGAACCGCTCGGCCCTGGAGCGGTCAGGCGACGGACGACAGGAGGACTGCCAGCCCTCCAGCTGGGACTTCTGCGACGGGCAGGATCTCAGGTCAAGCTGACATGCAGCCCTGCATTCCTTTAACACCTCAATTTTTGTCCTTAAAATGATCGTCTTGCTTGTTTTGTTAAAAGGCAACCTCACTCACCGTTTCTCCCAGACACTGAACGCCAACACGTGTGCATGTTATGACTGAAGTAAATCACTCCTTCGGTCTGGTCTCGCAGGGTAAAACAGTGCACGAACATCACGATGGCAGATCTGCTGGAGGCCCACAAGCAGATGGGCAGGACCCAGTACGCTCAGCAGTACAAGCAGCAGCCGCAGGTGTTCAGGGCACCAGCAAACCCCGGTACGTCTGAGCAGTACTCCCTGGACTAGCTGCCGAAGGCGCTGCTGTGCAGTACTCCCCTGGATTAGCTGCCGAAGGCGCTGCTGTGCAGTACTCCCCTGGATTAGCTGCCGAAGGCGCTGCTGTGCAGTACTCCCTGGACTAGCTGCCGAAGGCGCTGCTGTGCAGTGCTCCCCTGGATTAGCTGCCGAAGGCGCTGCTGTGCAGACGGCCTGAAGGCGCAAACCACCCAGTCTCTTGGACCCAGCACCATTTCGTTTGGTTTCAATGGGCTGGGAGGCACCGATGTTTATCAACCATCGATGTTTGACAACCATCGGTGTTTATCAACCATTGGTGTCTATTATCAACCATCGGTGTTTACCAACCATCAGTGTTTATCAACTTTCGGTGTTTATCAGCCACCGGTATTTATCATCGCAGAGGAATGGTGTTGTAAACATTTCGCTTTTACGCAGCTAACTAATAAGAAGCGAGATGCGTGCGATTGACGATTGACGAGCAATGATGGTGACGACGACGACGACGGCGACCGAGCGTGGTTTTCATCCCTCTGACAGACGCAGATGAGAGCGATTAATGCTATCGTTAGCTACCTGTCTGCAATATGTGAGCAGCAGGACTCAGGAATCTTCCTGGGTTGTACGCCTACCCACACGACGCATGCGTTTCAGGCTTTGCGGACGCAGTCGGCGATACCTTGGCGCTGTCAGTGGTCACGCCCAAGCACCTGCATGACCTCGGTCTTCTGCATGAGTCTGTCGATGACCCGGAGGTCAGTGACGTGCGGTTTCCTCAGAAGACATCCGGTTCGCCGTCCTGTGCTGTGATGTGCTAGAATAGAAAAAATCGGCGCGTATGACAAGTTGCAGACTGGTGCTTGTAGCGCTCGGAGTCACATGGACTTAAACTCATACCTGCCGCTAAGGTCTTCCACGGATTTACGGCCCACAAAAAACCATGAACCACCACGCCCAGCTGTCTCGTTTATCTTGGCGCCTTTCACAGTGCTCTGACCTCACGTGTCGTCCTGCGCTCTCCTGCAGGTGAACATGAACGTGCTGATGGCGACGGCGCTGGAGAAGATGGCGCGGCTGCCGTTTGGCTACCTGATGGACAAGTGGCGCTGGGGCGTGTTCTCTGGTGAGATCGGCGCCGACCAGCTCAACTGCGAGTGGTGGCGACTGCGGCAGGAGCTGCAGGGCGTGCGGCCGCCGAAGCAGCGCGCCGAGGCCAACTTCGACCCGGCCGCCAACGAGGCCGTGGTCGCCAACAAGCCCTACATCAGGTGAGCCGCTGCTGACCTGTGCAATCGGGACATGGCGAGTGATGCCCCCTGCTGTAAGTGATGTCTCTAAATGGGTCTACCAACTGGCTGCAGCACACTGCGGAAGGCGTTCGTCTGTGAATCCACCGGCCGTCAACAGGGTAGCAGCTGCACGTGCAGCACCAGACCTGACATCGAGCCATGCCACTTAAGTCCAGCTGAGAGCTGGCGATACACAACAACGTGAACGCCGACACCAAAACCCATCTATCACGTGCCGTATCAGTAGTAAATTGCGATGCAATGCTACATTGCTATTTGCAGCATGCTTTCATAACGTCTCTTTTACGAGGTTAGTTCATATTTCTGAAAGATAAGTATGTAGTGTCCAGTTACCACAGAATGTCGGTTCATGAACAAAAGCAGCCAAACTATGAAAGAAACACGGCTGATGTTGGGCGTGCAGTTGTATTTGACTGTTTCATGTCGGATGTAAACTGCATATAGTCCGTCCCGTGGTCTGTAGCAACATCTACAAAGACTGCAGCACCGATGACACCCAATCCCTGCAGCAGGTGGCTCTGCTCCTCGCAGAGTAGACGCCCGGAATGTTGGATACGTTGTGCCAATAATGGTAACGCTAGCGCGGCTAGGCGGCGGGATGGCGTCGCGGGCGCATTCCGACGCGGCCGGTTACGTCCGCGTGATCAGAGCGTCATGGCGGACCGGCGTCTCCGCAGAAGGAGATTGGCCCCGCTTCAGTCGCAGTGGACCTGCAGCTCCACATAGAGGCTGCTCACGCTGGGGCGCAATCCGCCGCGGTAGGGACGCTTCGGCCATGCGGGCGGCCTGCATCAAACTGTCCCTGATGAAAGCTGGGTGTGACGAGCTCAGACTTTGCTGGGTACAGTTCCGCGCCTAGGCCCAACAGATGAGCCTCGAGCAGGAACGGCAGCAGCAAGTTCTTTCTCTTGCCCCCCCCCCCCCCTCCCAGCGTCCGTACCTACTAGGTGAACCTCTCCAGGTCGGAGGCGGAGGGTGGCGAGGGCTGCAGCAGGTAGGGCGTCACGGTCGGGATCCGGGTGACCTGAGCCCGTTCCGAAATGGCGCCGAGGAACTTGAGCTTGCGGTACTTGCGCTGGCGCGGCTCGTCGATCGGGTCCAGGTTGCTGTCGAACTGGCGGCGCGGGTGGCCCAGGATGCCGATGCTCGCCCGGTCGACCGCGTGCTGCGCGGTCGGCGGCTGCTCCTGGTCCTCGGAGAGCAGCAGGCCGAGCGGTGCCGACCGGTTGTTGAGCAGGCCGTAGATGGGCTTGGGCGGCATCGGCGGACAATCGTACTCGCCGTACACGCGCGCCATAGCCACGCACATGGCCAGGTAGTTCTGCGAGGCCATCTCGGCGGCGTTGGTCGGTCGCGCCGCCGGCGGCGCGCTCGGACGCCGCTGCTTGGCCCGCGGCGGCGAGAGCCCCAGCGCCGCGTTGCGTCGCTGGTCGGCCGTCTTGTAGGTGCGCGTCGAGACGTCGCGTCGCGCCGGGTCGAAGTAGAGCGTGCGGAAGACGCGGCCCAGCTCGCGCGCGATCACGGCCACCGCCGGCCGGCCGAACGTGATCCACACCACCTGGATGGTGAAGGCGTAGAGCGCCTCCCAGAACTGCCGGTCGGCCGACGCGGCCGAGATGGAGCCGAACGCGCCCTGGTTCATGTGGTGGAACGGCATGTCGCGGCCCAGGATGAACTTGGCGTAGCAGTGCGCCATCTCGCGCTGACACCCATGCATGCGCAGCTTCCGCTCGGCGCGCCCGCCGCGGTCAAACACCAGGCAGTTGTTCTGCTTGGCCAGCTCAATAAGCTTGCGGTCCTTGAAGTAGTGGTGGAAGTACTCGATGATGCTGAGCAGGAACTGGTTCATGTTCGGGATCAGGGAGAACCGACGCCGACCGTACGCCGTTGGGAAGAACTGACCGACGGCCGCCTCGGCCACCGTCTTCACGTCCTCGATGCCCACCGTCTGCGAGTCGGGCGGCGGCTTGCCGGCGGTGTCCTCCGCCTTCGACAGGGCACGAGCGAAGATGCCACGGCCCGTCTCAACGCCGGCCCAGGTGGACTGGTTCGGGTACTTGGTGTAGCGGCGGCCGAACAGCCCCACCTGGCGCTTTAGCGTCTGCTCGCTGACGGCCGTCTGGAAGAACTCCTCCACAGGGTTGTGCGGTGCCGAGCGCCAGTGCAGCTCGCCCCACCGGCTGTTCCAGAGCCAGATGCTGTGCGCCGGCACCTTGGGGTGCATGCTGGCCGGCAGCTCCGGCTCCGGGTTGCGATCGTGCGACAGCTGGCGCCACTGCTGAGACCGCCAGCGCCAGTGATTGGCGGCGTGTATGACGCTGTAGGAGGCGCGGTAGCGCTCGCTGGCCGAGCGGCCGTCGTCCCGGTCTGCGGACCGGCTCTTGCGGCGCGCCCTGCGGCGCCGGACGCTGCCCCGCCGAGTGAACTGCATGCGAACGGTTGGCCGCCGGCTCGGGCGCCTGCCGCTCGCCCTGAGGCCGCCGGCAGCGGGCCGTTCGTCGGCAGGGTTCGTCTTGACCGGGACGGTCGGGCCCGTCTTCACCGGGGCGGCCGGGCCGTCGCCGGGCGCTGGGATGTCGCCGCCGTCGCCGCTGGCTCCGCGGTCCGTCAGTGCCGTCTGTACGGGAAGAGCCTTCGCTCGCGATGCTCTGGGCTCGACTTTGTCGTCCGCCTTGCCTCCGCCGCCGGCAGTGTCAGTGCTCATGCTGCCTGCTCTCATTTTGGATGTCGTGCTTGTTTTCCCCACTGTTTCCACGACCAAGGAAGGTGTGCACTTACGAAGGCCCGCAGGGGAATAGGGCTATGTCAACGATGTCGAAAAAATGCATGCAATTGTGGACGAATGTCCAGTTCGTACGCTTTTATATTCGTACCGGTCTCTTCATTTCGTTCGTAGGGGACTGCGGGGAATGTTAGAGCTACACTGCCATGCGCAAAATGGAAGCGAATGGGAATAGTTTTCCAGCAAATAATCACAATTCGTAAGGCACATGTCTAATATTGTGGGAGAGCTTCCGATATTGAAGCTCTTCCTCGAGCCGCAGCTCTCCGGCTCGTCGATGTCTGTGTCAAAACTGATGAGGACCTTATACGCGAAGTCAGGGGCCGAGCGAGTCTAACTTGAGCCATAGAAAGATTTTCAGCAAGGGTGTCCCGACCCGGCCCAGCAGCTACGCCGTCTGGGAGCGATTGTTATTTTATCGATGAGGGTCCTATATGCAACCGCTATTTACATGTTGATGCAGTTTGCAGCAACGAGAAGTACAGTTATGTGAAATCTGTTCTGCATGGCTTGTAAGGCATTCACATGTCTCCTACTTGGTTGGCGCGCTTTTCTGGAGTCCCTGTTTTCACTACTATTTCACAGCCCTCATTCAATTAATGTGGAGAAACGAAATTATCACCTTGCATAAAAGCTGAGGAGCATGGGCCTAAGCTGGGTTGAGATCTTCATGATACAGTGCCACAACGTCACGAGGCTAAGAGGTTCTGACGGGAGAGAAAACGGACAATCGTTGGACATGCGGTCTTGTGTGAATACTACGAATTCACCCGTCTTTGGAGGTTTTTTAAAGACCAAAGTTTTACACATTTTTTATTTGTTTTCACATTTTAGCAGCCAAGGTAGGTGAGGACGTCAAACCAAGAGTACAGCGAAGGCCAATGTATCGGGAGCGTCTCACTGTATATATCAATGAAATATATATATTGTTCAATATATTTCACTGTATATCTCACCGAAATATATCAATGCGGCTGAATTCGTAGTGGCGCTAGCAACCGATCCGGAAGCGGCCGATGTTATCTTGTACGAAATTCTTTCAACGCCATGGCTTACACCGAGAGAAATTGGGCCACATCAATTTCATAGGTCTGTGGCCATTTTCACTGTGACCAACAGTCAACCAAAATATTTGCAATCGTCACTCTGCTTTACACGCAATTAACAATACCGCAAATCATGGCAAATCTATCGACTTCATCGACTAAATCTGTCATGCTTGATCCGGCCAATAGCCAGACGTACGTCATTCACTGTTGCTCGTGAATTAGCGCACGAGTGCTGCATCAGTAGACCTCAGCCTGCTAAATACTACTCAAAACTAGGGTTTCGAACTTGTTTTTATTTTCCCTACTTGGCATCGACACTTGACACTATTTCGCATCGTTTGTCCAATGTGCCTGGCTCTCTTATATTGAGCTGATATATCATCTGCTCAACAGTAACAGACAACTGTCATATCTGTTACGACCTACCCGTCCCATGCCACAGAAGGCGGCGCACTGGTATGTCTCACGGCTACCCGTATCGTGCCACACTGGTATGTCTCACGGCTACCCGTCCCGCGCAAAAGAGGGTGCCCCACTGGTATGTCTCACGGCTACCCGCCTCGGGCCACACTGGTATGTCTCACGGCTACCCGTCCCGCGCAAAAGAGGGTGCCCCACTGGTATGTCTCACGGCTTTGCTGCGGGGTGCGTTTCCACTTATGAGATCTTGAGCTGAAGAAGAACGGCTGATGTAGAACTGACCAGGCACTAGGTAAACGACGGTATCAGCATCCATTAATCATTAAGAGATGTTGTGGAAATGCGGGACATTTCAGTGGTGACATTGTCACGAGACCGGCCACCGAGTGACGTCAATTTATATACGGCATAAATAATATAATTTCATCATATTTGCTAAAAGCATCATATTTGCACAGAAGTCGACCGCGTTTATTGCTAATATAATGCAATTTCGTCCCTTGATACCTCCGTAATTTAGATCGTTGGGCAAGTTATCTATCTCGTGCAATCCTTTTTGGTAGTCCAGCCTGTTTTCCAGAAGATATCTTTTTCTCACTGCAGGCATGATATCACATGGGAAACAAGGGTACACACGGGTATCATTTAAAACCGTCGTGAAGGCAGTGTTGTCAGTCACAAACCGAGATCCGTTCTGGGACCGCATTCATGTACCACAAATGGGCAGAGTAATTTCCCGCGGGGCCATACTGACAAGTAGCATGCAAAATGATTTGATCCTTCATGACCTATGCCACCTTCCAAAATTATTATCAACGTGCATGCGATTAGCACTATCACCTCAGCTTTCTCTGTTCTGATGGTTCCTTGTCTCAACTTGTAATTGCGTGCCGAGCTAACATAACGATGTTCATGGGTTCGAATTAACTGTCATGAACCTTTCTACGTACCCTTTGGTCCAGTGTTGTTGGTGCTGCATATTTACGTCCGCTTCGCTCAAAGCCCCACCGCATGCGCCGTGCCGCCGTGTTTCAGGCACTTTGTCTCGCTGGTGCTGCAGTTCCAGCTGCACCAGGCGCTGTGCGAGGCTGCCGGTCAGTTCGACGCGTCCGACCGGGCTCGGCCCCTGCACCGCTGCGACATCTCCGGCAGCAAGGAGGCCGGCGGCAAGCTGGCGTGAGTAGCTCTCCCCTGCCTCGAGTCTGCCGGACGCTCCGGGACGGCGCTGTTCCGCTAGTGAGGAGAAGATTGGTCACGCACGGGATCACGGTCGGGCCGACGTCACGCTCGCCTCCGTCTCGCAATGCTCCACGATTGGTGTCATGTGACTGACATGGCAGAGTGTCATTTTGGTAGTTTTGGTCATGACTTTCCGGCAAGATCAACATTCTTTCGACAGCGGCACTTCAATGCTTGATTTCACGGCACTACCTAGCTGAATGTCCGCAGCCAGTTAGCGCCGTACCAAACGGCAGAGGGGTGGCGGGATCAACAAGCAAACAGGAAACACCTCGAAGCGTGTACACTGGGTGACACCGTTATCTGATATCGGTCACATGCAAGTCCCACCGTAAGAATTACGTATTTTGTAGGCCACTTATCCTGGCCGAGCACGACGACCCAGCTGGACACCCAGCAACAGGCACCCAGCACCCAACACCCAGCACCCAGCGGCACCACAGCACAGGCGCGACCGGGGGGGAGAGGGAGGGTGACATCTGACCGCCGCGCTGTGTCGGTCCCTGCAGAGCGATGATGAGTCTGGGGCGCTCGGAGCCGTGGCCGGACGCACTCGAAGTCATCACGGGTCAGCGCGAGATGGACGCCACAGCGCTGCGGGACTACTTCCAGCCGCTGGAAGACTGGCTACGGCGTGAGAACCAAGAGACGCGCGAGCACATCGGCTGGAAGAGTGGTGAGGCGACGGGCAGCCGGGCTCCGCTGTCCCTCTGTGCCCCGCGCGCCGTTGTCCTCCCCAGCCCGATGGCCTCTCAAGCTTCAGCGTTCTCCAGCGCCTGCCGTCCTCCCGAGACCAGCTGTCCTCCCGAGACCGGCTGTCCTCCCGAGACCGGCTGTCCTCCCTGTCCTCCCGAGACCGGCTGTCCTCCCGAGACCGGCTGTCCTCCCGAGACCGGCTGTCCTCCCGAGACCGGCTGTCCTCCCGAGACCGGCTGTCCTCCCGAGACCAGCTGATCTTGTTGACTGTGACTGGCAGGCTGTATTGCTGCCCTGTGCGTCCTCATCCTTACCTGAACATCCTTGTATTTGCTGCTCAGATGAGTACGAGCATTTCTGGCAGTACCTCAGCACTGTTGTTTTCGATCACACCGCGCCATGTGTCTGACCTCTTGGTCACATTTGCCAGCCGTGGTTTGAAGTAACCTGTACTTGCTACCTGCATAGCGCGCGTCAACGGCTCGCCTCGCATATCCGAACCCATTGTGTCGCACTTACTGCCTGTTTGTCTATTGAGCTCAAAGCCGAGGCTGGTCGCAGTCGCGCGTGTGACAGATAAGGCACGCTCTCCGTGCACCTGGCACGGCCATGACCCTGCTGACACTGGTCGTATAATTAGGGACTAAAGGTCTCAAGGCAAGTTGTGTGTTGTGCGGACAACGCCCAACTCTGCTGAGCTACCAAGACAAGTGACCGAGTCTGCCCGTTGCTTTGCTTTGTCTACTGATGCTCACTATTTATTATGATGAATCGAAGTTTCATACTTTCTTGCCCCGCATGCTTTTCATATTCCGAAACTGAACTTATATCGTATTGTTACAGAGGAGTCCGCTTGTGTGCGTGACCCTTCAGCACCCTTGCCGACACCAGAGCCAGAGCCGGAGCCGGAGCCGGAACCGGAGCCAGAGCCGGAGCCAGAGCCGGCGGGAGGGAGCTCCTCGCACGACCACGCGCACACGCACGGCGATGGCCAGGCCGAGCACAATCACCCCCACCCCCATGACCAGGGCCACGACCTGGGCCCGAATCACGCTCACGACGACCACGATCACGACCACGGTCACGACCACGATCACGACCACGATCACGATCACGATCACGATCACGGCCACGGCCATGATCACGACCACGACCATGGCGTGGAGGGCAAGCTGTCCGGACAGGACGCTGATGGCAGTGATGATGACGACAGCGGGTCACCGGGCGTCGGTGGCGGCCTGCCCACATTGACGTCACTGGCTCTGCTGGCAGCCGCCTTGCTCGCGCTCGTCTGAGCGGCTGCGGCGTGTCTCGAGCGGGACAGCTCTTCTGCGGCGTGAGTGTCTCGAGCGGGACAGCTCTTCTGCGGCGTGGTGTCTTGAGCGGGACAGCTCTTCTGCGGCGTGGTGTCTTGAGCGGGACAGCTCTTCTGCGGCGTGAGCGTCTCGAGCGGGACAGTTTTTGCGGCATGAGTGTCTCGAGCGGGACAGCCCTTCTGCGGCGTGAGTGTCTTGAGCAGGGTAGCTCTTCTTAGCACAGCCTCGAGCGGGATAGCTTTCCTGTGATGTGAGTGTCACAAGTATGGCAGCTCTTCCCTGGTGGGACTGTCTCAAACCGGACAGCTCCTCCATGGCGAGAACGAGCAGCAAGCATCCGTCTGGGGTGGGACTGTCTCAAACCGGACAGCTCCTCCATGGCGAGAGCGAGCAGCGAGCATCTGTCTGGGGCGGAAATGTCTCGAGCATGGATGGTATCTGCAGGACGCCAGCGGCCAGCTCACCCGTGCTGAAGCTCGGCATCCTGCGGCTGATGCTCGCCGCTGGACTCTGTCCGGGTGGGACGTGCTGTGGAAGGCGCTGCGGGTCGGACTAGCGCTGGGTCGGGGCGAGATCATGTCTGAGCTCACGGGTCTGTCGGTGAAGTGACTGTGCTGTTCGTTATCTGGCTTGGGGTACAGCCGCGCTTGTTTAAGTGGGTATTGAATTCCCAAAATGAGGTGATTTACGTGGCCTGATACAACTGTCGCTGTAAACAAACATTCCGCCCTGTAACGATGCAATCTTTCGTTACGAGCAATCTCTTTAAAGTCAACGCGGTGTTTGTCATAAGCATCTTTCTCGCAGAGAATCCAAGTGGGGCGAATCGGTGGCATTCCGTTTTTCGCAATCTCTTACCGTGATCGCAACGTCTGTCGTATAACAACATGAATATATTGATCGAGTGAAGTCTGGCTTATGATTTGGAAAATCGGTCATGCATTTTGAAAAAGACTTTTTACAAGCTTCTAGAGATTGAACTCGTGGTCTTTGCTGCCTGTTTTCGCTGAACATTGCGCTTTGATAGCGGATAGCAATAAACATTAACGACGCAACAGTCCACCATGCAACCGCGTCGCCATGGCGACGTCAACCAACCACGCAACCACGCATTCAAAGATCAACCACGCATCAGTTCACTGCATCTGCGGCGTAATAGTGCATTGCGCCGACATAGAAGTATTGTAAGTGCATTGAGACATATGAGCGCATTGCGCCGACATTCATAGTATTTTTAACGTCGAGACGACCTGCGATAAAGCCACGTCCACGACCTCGTCATGGTTTGGCGCCGCCCGCGCTGTCCGTGTTTCCCTCGCCTTTCGTTGGCGTCCCCGCCGGTGGCGGCGCCGCAGCGAGATAGCTTCAGACGCCGCGCCCCCGCCGGTGGCGGCGCCGCAGCGAGGTAGCTTCAGACGCCGCGCCCCCGCCACGCCACCGCCGCCTTCGGCGAGACGCTGGGCCTCACCACGGTAGTGGACACGCTCTCGTCCCTAATGCTCGCCATGGCGATGATGGTGAGGCTGAGCAGTGGAGAGCAGCTGTCCTCGCCGCTGATGGTAGCGTCCTCCATGTCCTCCTGGCCGGCGCGCACGCTGCGCTGCTCTGCCTGTACGGCCAGGGGCTGGAGGAGGTGGCGCTGTTACTGCCGCCTCTGCCGGCCGCCGAGCACTGGCCGACCCGCGATGTTATGCACACGCTCCTGCTGGTGTAACTCCCGGAGCAGGCGACGGCATGCTCGACTTCCTCAACACCACTAAGTGTCTCCTCGTGCCCGCGGTTGCCGGGTTTGTCACCTCCGCGCTCGTCATGTTGCAGACGAGGTGTCCGTCAGCGCGTGAAGGGCCTTCCGTGGAGATCTAGTCGAGTGCAGTTGATGGAATTCGTCGACTGTCCTGTAAAAGTGTTTCTAGCGACTCGCCAGTCACACGATTTACAGCTCTTACGCAGGGATGTGCTGTGGGCCTCCAGCCGTCGATCGGCGTGGACGGAGAAACCAGAGTTCATGGCTGCACAGCGCACCTGTGATAAGAAGCTTGCTAGTAGGTTTGTTTTTTCATAACGGAATTTTTTAGATTGAGTTCTACGTTTTTAACACAAGTGAAACGTGTGCCAGATGTGAGAGCATTTTGCATTAACCACGTCGTGTAGCATAAGTGAGGATGTATCTAAAACCGTGCTCCAGCCAAATTCAAAGCAAAAATCAAAGCTCTTCCACCTTGACGTTTTGCGGTATGCTTTCGAATGCCGGCTATGCGCTTTCTGCTGCATACTTTCCCATGCATATACCATATTTTACGTCATGCATTAGCCTGCATGCGTGCAAAAACCATTCAATGCAAAAACAATGCCCTACGAATGGTGGAAATAAAGACTGTGAGGATCCTAGGCTGTCAAGGGTCAATATGTTTCGGAGCCATCCCAACCAAGGCGTTACGGAGCTATCCCGACCAAGGTGTTACGGAGCCATCCCGACCAAGCTCCGACCAGACCTTCTCGACCATAATCATTCTGACCTTCCGACCAAGGATTAGGAGGATGTTTTAGAGAATCAACCATCTGACCCTTGAGCGGCAAATTGAGAGAATTGGATGATGGTATGGAGGCGTAATGATCGTTATCGTAATAAGTGAGCGTGATTTTGGTAATATTTGAGCTTTCGGGTGGTTTTCATTGCTGGGTGGTCCCAGCTCAAACATTTGGTGGTCCTGGGAACCGTTGGACCCCTAGCTGCGACGCTATTGTTGTTTCATTATACTCCAACACGTTTCCTCGTCCTTCGCTAACTGCGTGCTCTTGTTGTAAATAAACTTTTTTTGCCTAACGCGACGCATCGATCGCTCGCAATTTCTACATCTACTTCCTTTTTTGTGTTGATATTATCCGACATGCATATACTTAGCTCCCGTTTAATACAAACTGGTTGAAGTATCACATTTGACACAAACTCCTTTTTAGTGCACGTAAGTCGCAGGTTAATAGATGCCTGTAAGTCGCCCTTGATGCCCGAATACAGTAGCTCCCGGCAGTCACTACGCACGTGGCTAGCGTTGCTACTGTCCGTTGGAGTCCCAGAACGTGCTTGTACGACCCACTTTGGTAAATTCTGGTTGGGTAGAGTACGAAACGGACTGGATTAATCCGGTGGGTCTTACACACAGATCCAATCCACTTGACTGGATATGGATCGAATTGTGTTTAATACGCGGATGTAAATTAACCTTGTAAGTTAATTTTCATTAGTCTATGCTTTTAGTGCGAGTCTTCGGCTTCCGTCTTTCTAGCCTCGCTCGGGTTGGGCTTATTTCGGGGATTGGATTCGGATTGGATCTGGGCCCTGCTTGACCGGATTCGGATTGGATCTGGGCCCTGCTTGACCGGATGCGGGTTGAATCTGGGCCCTGCTTGACCGATTGCGGGTTGGATATAGGCGATAAAAAGTATGATGACAGACTGAAACACATGTAAAGTGCTGAGAGGCATGACCCAGCGTGATTGCGGCCCCGTTTTTTGCCTTGTGTTTGATATAGAAGGCTTCGGGCATATGTGAAGGTCATACATATGGAAGGTCACGTCTCTCGCTACACATCAACAGGTACAAACGACTAAAAAAAGACAAGAAGAAAGGTCTTCAGTATAATTGACATTCCCTCTCTCGCAACATTACAGGTTAAGCTATGTGATTTCAGATCTCAGCTTTTACGTCATTCTTAGTATGTCATTCTTAGGGCACTGATAATGAGCCAGGGCCTTGAACAGCGCCACGGTCACGAACCCATCATGCTCAGACATCGGCTCCCTGGAGATCCTCCGTCACAACACATCACAAAGTGTTCTGATCTTCGATTCGTCTTTATATGTTTTACCAAGTAGTTTAACAACATGATCGCATTTAAGTGCCCCAATTAAGTAAGCATTTGTTCGGACGGAGCTATATCACACTGCGCCATGACCATAGCCATCGTCGGATCTTCACAAGGCGCCAACGACTTTACTAAGCTTCAGATCACAGAAAGCGCGTCACCATGGCAACAAGCGCCGGACCAGCCGTGTGACGCACTAGACGCTGTCGGGCAACGTGCAGATGTGGGTATTAGCGCAGGTGTCGTAGCAGCACTTGTCGCTCTCCAGGCACTGGCCGTCGTGGGCGCACTTGCGGATAAAGTTATTCTGAGGGCAGAGCAGCCGGACCGGAGGGCACTTGCCGCCGTGGATCGCCGCTGAAACAAAGCCGTCACAGGTCGTCACCAGAGGGCAGACCCGTGATGCTGGGCGGTTTGACGCGTGGCGACAGACTCTACAAACGGGTGAAACATGTCAGATCATACGCCAGTGATGCACTGCAGTACGGGAAGTTTCGAATAATGTATTATATGCATGATATTGAAAACGAAATTGACGAGGGGACAGTTATGTCGCTCTACTTTTAGCACTCTCACCGCACGACTTTAATGAACAGCGCAAGACGATATCCCATCCATATAGAAGAATGCTGCCCCGACCGTTTTGACGGCGCGGTGCAGCCCTCGCCGGCGCAGAGCACTCACGTGGTCCTCCGCGGTTGGTGCCATCATCACAGCAGTACAGTTGGCCGGTGTTGCGACGACAGGTGTACCGGCACCGGCTGCTCCCCTCTGTCGCGGGCGCGATCGGCCGATTGTTCACCACCTGCTGGCCGGCTGCCAGGCGGAGGTTAGGTCAGAGGGACAGGCGGTCAGGTCAGCGATGCACGCTGTGTGGTGTTAACCTAGGGAAAGTCTCAGCTGATATTCAAGGGCAGCGCATAACTTCTAATACAGCGTCTGGAGTTAATAAAAGTAATCAAGTTTGTTAGTGATCCTGCAGGCTAGCAGTGATCGCCATGGAGTAAGATCATTTATCCATGCTGTAAAAAACAGCACAACCGTATCATTCATTAAATGCGTTATCGCCCATACCTAATCAACGTAATAATTCACAACTAAAACCTTTTGGACTTACTGACGACTCCGTCTTGGTCGTTCGTGTTGACGATCACCACGCCCGTGTGACCGGCCTCCACGTTCACCAGCGTGCCCTCCACGTTCTGCTGCAGCTGTGTCGACATGATGTTCACCTGAGCAGAGCGGGGAGAGAAGCGGCCGTCAGACACAGGGCAAGGCACACATGTGTCTGGGACGGCATGTACAATACCCTTGATATGTCTACCTCATGCGTGCGCAAGGCTTAAGGCAGCTCGTGCCGTGTCGCGTTCCCAAATGTGCACCTTTTTGGCTTGTGCTCTTCCGCATGCACTCAGAGTTAATCATGAACTTTTTTATTATTCCTGGTCTTTGCCAAAACAGAGAAATCAAGTGAAGCTTTCAACAGAGCACCGGAGTGGCCAGACGTCTCGCCAAGGCCTCGGCGGGCCGGACTGGACTGAGCCGGCGCGGGTCCGCCCATCCATGCTGACCTGGTTGTTGGAGCTCTGCGAACCACCGCCGCCGCCGCCGCCGGCCTGCTGCAGCGCCTCAATCGCCGCCGCGTTGTTGGTGGTCTGGACGGCACCGCCCAGGCCTGTCTGCTGCTGCACGGAGACACCAGTGGCCTGGCCCTGGTTCGTCTGCGTGTCACCCGTTGACTGTTGGTTGCTGGTGGCGCTGGTCTGGCCTGTGGCACCGAGGTGACGTGCTCACCCTCCGGCCGGTCGCAGCTGAGTGCCGCGCGAGGCTGTATCAGGGCTAATACATTCGAGTGCACGTGAGGCTTGCATCAAAATCGACGACGGTCTCATTTTTTGGAATGTTTTTTTGACGAAGTGGTCCCAAAGATGCATGAGGTTGCTGCGCTATGTAACCGATCGCGGCTTATTTTGCACACCATCTCCACGAACTGCGCAATCGGGACCGACAGACTGGGCAGCGTTCTTAGCCTTAGGGAGTGGGGCAGATCATCGTCGAATTAAACGGCGTAACGCCCAAAACATTGTATAGCATCAGCACTGTTGGGCATTTACTCACGCACTTTAATCAACGCAAGACGATGCGACTGGGCAAAATATGGTGCGACGATTGAAGATTAGGTGATGAGTTAGACGGTGTAAGATGTGAAAGTCAATTCCAAATCGACACTGAATTTGTACCACCTTTATGCGTATAACACTGAGCCACAACATGACTGGCATGACCAACGCGAAACGTTAAGTGCATTGATGACTAGGGCAGCACTGGGAACCAGAGCACTCTGAGAGCGAGCTCCGCCAGCGCTGAGTGGTGTTGAGACCCTGCGTGGCTGACTGTCGGGAACGTAGGATGGATTCCCGGCGGCGGCGCCAGTCGAGAGGTGCGCAAAATGCTCCACACGAAGTACATGTCTCTCGGGGAGCGGGAAATGCATGCCTCGTGCCGCACGCACTAGGCACACTCGGGTCGCTCCGTCCTCGGCGTTCTGCGCGGGATCGGCGAATGAGTGAACGCCGCCGAGGTCAGACGCCTGGGTGAAGTAAGCCCGCTGTATGGGAAGGCTGCACCTACCGAATTGTATGTTACCGCCTCGGTTGCCCCAGGCCGGCGATTTGGACGGCTGCCTGGTATCCACGAACGTGATGGACGAGGAGCTATGGCCACGGCCGGGGAATGGCACCGCCGCCGCAGCGACAGCCAGCGCCGCGACCAGCAGACTCCGCGTCAGCGACATCTGTTGATGCATACACAAACGTGAGATTCGGAGTTTTGACAACAAACGTAGATTACATGCGCACGCGGCTTGGTAGAACAGTAAGAATACATGTTGTGTGTGTACATACGCATACAAAGTTGAAAACATCGAGTACAAACGTGAGCCCAAGCGCTCAGAACGTCCTTGGTCTACATGTAGAGATGATACTTAGAAGGTGACGAAGGATACCGGCCGTGGTGATGGTGTTTGAGACTGGTCCAACCATGCAACAGGTTTTCGCGAAAAGCCACAAACACAAGTTGCGCTATTACCCACAGTCTTCATGGAAGACAGCCCATTGGTAAGCTTTCCAGTGCGGCTGAGTTGTGACGCATGGGAAATGCCGTAACGGTTACTGGGAAGTGCACATGTGAGTGCTTGTTGAGAAGCGGCGCGCCAATTTTCTTCGCCGTTAGTGGGATTTTCCGGCCACTTAAATAGATCTGACGTTCGTTTTTTCCGAGGCATGAAAATGTCAGATGGGTCACGGGTACGTTGGATACGTAAACGTACGTACGCGATCTGCCGTGTGAACCGTTTTCACGAGCTGCTATCGTAGAGAGATAGCAGCAGAGATAGCAGAGATAGCAAGATCATAGCAGAGATAGCAAGACTTTCCTCAGAACATAAGTGGTTGGGTAATCAGAGTGAATTAGTTCTCGGAAGCTCACTTGTGAGAAGGCAGCGACCACGACCGCGGCATAGCACCAGGAGGTGAGCAAAGCCCAAATCATGAGCACAGTGCGCCCGGGATCCTCGGTGTAGCACTTGTCCCGGCCTCCATGAGGGCTGTGTTCAACGGGCTGGCTCAATCCCCTCCCCGGGCTTGACCTAGATCCCGGGTCTGTTGTGCTCGCCTGAGGCTTACAGCATCAGCGGCGGTTACCACCGGCTGCTGGAATTCGGGACGACCGCCATGCGAACACTGAACCCGCTCGCCGCGCGCCCAACGCGCCGCCTGCGCGCGTGCGTGCCCGTGTCTTTGTGAAGCCGTGCGGCGGGGATTGCGGGGGGTGCGATGCGCGGCGCCGCGGTGCCCAGATACGATCACTGACGCTGGCTCGTCACGGCCGGGAGTTCCACCTGCCTTGTTGTAGAGTCCGCACCAAGAGAGAGAGAGAGAGTCTAGAGAGAGAGAGAGCGAGAGAGAGAGAGAGAGAAGAGAGAGAGAGAGAGAGAGATAGAGAGAGATGGGAGGGAGACGGAGAGAGTGGCGATGAGAGAGAGAGAGAGAGAGAGAGAGAGGTGGGGCGGGGGACGGCTACCGTGTCGTAACGGGCCGGGCGCGCGCCCCGGAGCCCGCTAATTGATAAGGAAGCGCGTGCGGCGCGGCCGGGCGCGACACGCCGACCGACCTTGACCTGACCCCAGTGGCACCGGTTTGGCGCCCGTAGGCCACGTGTTAAAGGAACAGATCGGTAGTGGTGGAGAGGCCCGGATGGGCCGAACTCCGGCATCAGCCGTGGAGATCATCCAAGGCCGTTGAGTCTTTTGGAATACGATGCAGCACTTTCGCACACTGTGTCGACTGTTCAGGCCCATGCAACGCCACGCAGTGGCACGGAAAAGGTAAAAAGGGGTGTTGTGACATGAGCGCTTCGGAAAACCTGGGACATCACAGAGGTCACGTGCGTGACCTTGCCTTCTGCATTACCGGAGAGCTCCTTCATACAGCTGACTGGGCTGAAAGCGAAGCACGACCGCTAATGTCACAGAAACAACGGCAGCCTCGCCATTACGACGCGGGCTATACCGTCCTGACAGCTGTTTAAAAGCCGACACACCGGCGCCCACCGTGCAGCAGGAGAGCGCTTGTTTCTTACGCTTGCGCTTGTGTGGCAACGCAGAGTACTATCCCATCCATGCTAGACGGCAATAGATGGGCCCACCTGGGCTGGACCACATCAACTGGCTTCGGGGCCGCTAATCAGACAAACAGCTCGGATGCATTGAAGTATCCTTGTCACAGGCTGCATGCTAAGTCCGCTTACCGTATCGGCGGCTCATGCCATTAATGCACTTGCTCTAGCGTGCACCGCACTACAGTTTAGTTATCTCTTCAGGTATGGTTGCCGAACCCTTTGGCGCAACACCAGTCAAACGTTCATTTCGTTGGGGCGCAAGTGAGTCCACCGTTCACGCGATACTTTTCGGGTGATGCATGTAGATGAAAGGTCTCCGCAGTGGTGCCTCCCAACTGCAGGATCACGCAGCGTCAACAGGAAATGTCTGTCATAGGATGTCTTATCATACTATTGTTTTTACATCCAAATATCAGGCCATCAATCACTAAAAAGCAATGACACGAGTAGCTCAACAGTTGAGCGGATCTTCATATAATTCGATGAGAGACCGAACTGTAAATTTCCGAGCGTGATATTTCCGTTCTTTGTGTTTTCATTATCTCTGTTGGTTAGGCCTGATCAACAACTGATCCGAACCGGACACGGGGGAAATGAAGCAGAACCCATGGAGAGAAATGTCAATCTCTAACTACTAGTACCTTGCATGAAACAAAACGTTTTATTTGATTTTCGGCCGTCGCGCTTATCGCCGGCCATTCCAAGCCTTACCCTGACTCATCCGTTATGCGGCTTACGACGCTTAAAGTGTGTTGGACCCTCGCGCACGGCAACGCCCGATCTCTCGAATCTTTGTTTTCGCTCACCTGCACTAGCAAGCGTATGGTCATTCACGTGATGTACAGCTAACCCCACACATGACTGCGATACACTCACAGGCCCCACCTGTCCCTTGTTTGGGCATGTACTCACTTTAGTGTTTCAAGCTCCACCGATCCACGCGAGGACGACACGTCACGAGCTCGCCTGGCACCGCTCACTCCTGGCCGTCAAGTGCCGCCGGCCGGCCGGCGCCCGCTCATAAAGGCGAGTCCGGGCGGCGGCCGGCGGCTCTGGGAAGGCCCAGCAGGCCCGTCCGACCGGCTGGACCGGCACCGTGCAGGCCGCTGCCGCCGCTCACCCGATGCGCTGTACCGGCCGCATCACAGGCCAGGCCAGCCACCGTCTGATGTGGACAACGCTCGCGTCTCATGCAATGATACCGCACGACGAGCAGGGCGCCACGATACAGCCCCGGGGTGTGGGGGCAGCCAGCTCACATCACCGGAGTCAGGTGCAGAAATAACCAAACAGCAACAAAACAAGGTGGTGGCTCCAAACGTGGTCGACAAGTTTGTTGAGGTGGTTTTAGTCATCCCTTGTCGGGCGTGTAGTTTGATAAAACAGGCTGGTAGCTGAGCGGGAGAAAATGATGAACCCTGGTCAAAACACGCCCAGCAGGTGTTTCTCCCAAGTCGGACCATTATCTTTTCAAAGCCGTGAGAGGGCTTACCTCGCCCGACGTAACAGGAAACACACCCTTGTCGATTATAGCTGATCAGTCAGGTGGGGTCAGATGAGGCCAAAGGTAACTGCTCTCGCCGTCTCATCGTGGCTTTTCGAATGACTACCGAGTACAGCGGACGGAAAACAAAGCATGCCACCATTCAACTACCAGAGGTAAAAAGTAACGCCACTTGAGACCACTCCATGACCACGACTTGCATGCACTGGTGCCCAAATCATTCATTAACGATGATATTTGTCATGTAGGGTCTGACAGTACTTTAGGTGATTTCCAAAATTCGGCATGACTCCATTTTGGCCTTGAATTACCCTTGAACGTCTCATGATGCATGTCAGCAAATTTGGCTCAGGATGTCTGTAATGACTTCGTGGACCATTCCTCTGATGCCACATTGACCTTGAATGACTTCTGCAAAGCTGCATACATTGGAGAGGCTCGAGCTATATAGCCACTGCACACCTTTGCAGAACCAGACGACGAGAATGTCTGGCCTACAGGGAGCCAGGAAGGCGTTGCGGAAACATAATTTCCTCATTTTCACCGCGCAAGACTTTGGGAGCGGGGTCGTAAATCGGTGACCTGGGGTGGGGTAAGGGGGGGGGGAGAGGACAGAAACTTGCCATCACAGGTCAGGCGTGGAAAGGTTTCACACTCAGATAATCCAAACACCATTCCGTTGCACTGAAGTGTTCGCGTGACACGTTTTAAAACCAAACGAGTAGGGTTTGTACAAGCTCTCATTGTGACAAAGGTTACGGGACGCGCCAATATTTCGATAGAGAGGCAAATGAACGATGGCAGTTACGCCAACATCCAAGCAATGTTGCTAGCTGAGCCGACTCCGCTGGCCCGGCCGGGATGAGTGGTGACAATGTTTGCTCCACCCTCTACGCCGGTCGCAGCTCCAGCGTCCTTGCCACCGCAGGCGAGGGAGCTCCTCTCGTCGGGGTCTCGATAGCGCGTGATAAGCATGCCGGCTATCTAAACAGCTGACCAATTAATGCCAGGAGCACTGGGGTCCTCCAGATCCGCTCCAGGAGACCCAGGTCTTGGAAATCGCCTTGGGATGACCGACTAAGCCATGATTGCAGTGGAATTTTGGTGTGCTAACTTCAGTTTCTCGTACAAAAAAATGGTTCAGATGTAACCGTGCTTTCCCATGCACGTCATCATCAAAGCGCAAGTAATAAACACTGCTGGTTGCAAAGTTTACGACGAGCTGTCTATCACGGTCAGCTCTTCGCGGGTTCTGTGCGGCAGTACGCCGCGATGCTGACTCCGGCGACTCCAGTGGGTGGGCTCCAGTGCAGAGCATGAGTGAACTCCTGTTCTTGACAGTGTGCAGACGGCGCCTTGAAAATGGCCCGAGATGGAAGAACCTGTACCTGCGACGGCTAAATGCACCATAAGCCGTAAACCGGTACGCTCGGTAATAAGCAGTTCACGTCCTTAGAAAAACGCCATTTGCACCTCTTGTGAGAATGCAGTCTTCTTTTCTCCAGCAAATGATGTGCACCAGACCGTTGTGTATTCTCAGAGGAGCAGCAGTCAAGCAGACCCAATTGGCGCCGCGTGACCATACTCATCGACGCGCCCGAAAGCCCCAAAGACTTATTCAAAACGGACCGTGCCCGCCAGCCGCACACCAGCACACACCCCTGTACCACACCGGAGCAACACCGTCAGCAGCTGTGTGCTGGCGGCCGGCCGGGTCTGCGGTTCGCCGAAGGGACGGGCAGGCCCAGCGCGCCTCCCTGACCTGCCGAGTCGGGCCGCCCCACGCCGTCTGCAGACGGCCGGGTTTTCCAGGGCGGCTGCCGTGCTGCCGGCCGGCCGCCACTGCCGCGGCCGACCCTAGCCCGCGCCGGCTGAGGGAGGGGGGGGGGGGGGGGGTCATCTGATCGCAGGGCGGTGTGCGTGAGCGGACGGGCCACGTGCTGGCGCCGAAAGACACGAGAAGGCCCTTCGGGGTCAGCAGGGCGCTCGGCGACGGGCTGTTCCCAGGATCGCTAGCAGCTGCCAGTCCGCCCTCGCCTCAAAGATGTGGCAGATTGTAGCACATTTGCGATTGATGGGGATGCAGATCTCCAAGTTTGGTTTGGGTGTCAATTACTATTAATTACCGTTACAATTAATGTCAATTAAAGTAAATACTCACATGGCTGCTGGAACGGAAAGCAGGCGCTTTAGAGGCCTTAACTTGAGCTGTGCATGGGAAGATTCGAGATCAAACATATATCGCCGTGATGGCACTGATCGCAGTCAGATATAACCGACACAGCACATCTGGCAGTAGCATGAACGACAAACACTAACAAACTTTGAGACTGCATTCGTTGTAAACAATCTGGCAATCGTTGACTGCTGCTGAGAGCGGAAAGCGGCGCTGGCGACTATTCAGTGCTGTACTAAACACTCGGATTTAGGACACACATAGATCATAAGCTTGCAGTAAACAGTAAACAATGCAGCAAATAATGAACAATTATGCAGCATTGCGGGGGCAAGCTTCTGTGTATTTTGGCTACACCAGTCGAGGTGGATGCTTTTGAATAACCTGAGCATTGCATCAACACTGACACGGCTGCTCTGCACCCGCCGGCAATGGCCGAGTGCTGCGGCTGGACGCGCGCGAGGCCGAACGCCGCACTCCGGACACATGAATCAGGACATCAGCCGGTCGCTCCCCAGGTCAGGGTCAGCACCGGCGCGTGCCGAGCCGTCGTCCCATCGACGGCGCGCCGGCTCGACCCGCACCGCCGCGTGTCATCACATCCTGAGCGCCTGGCCCCGAGGATCGCGGCCACGATCCGTGATCGCGGATGGGCCAGGATTATCCTCTTTTTATTGCTCAGGGGCCTTCCGTTTTATCTTTGGTTCTTATTTGCTTAGAGCACCCTGCACCGTGGTCCGAGGCGCCGTATGTTAGCCTGCCGGGGTATTCCCGATCATTCAGAGGCCCTTCACGGGTTCTTCACCCTGGTTCGGAGGGCTGCATGCCGCTGTCAAGGGCCTGTGTGAACCCGTCGGGGCGCTCTCGATCGCTCAGCGGCTCTTCACAATTCCGCTGTCGAGGGCCTGTGCGAACCTGTCGGAGCGCTCTCGATCGTTCAGCGGCTCTTCACAATACCGCTGTCGAGGGCCTGTGCGAACCTGTCGGGGCGCTCTCGATCGCTCAGCGGCTCTTCACAATACCTTGGCTTCTCTCTGTTTGCTCGCGGGGCTCCATGCCGTCACCGGAGCCCTATAAGGTAACTTACCTAGGCTGGGTGCTCAGGGACCCTCTGCATCCGTCTGGGCCTTTCCCCACCTGTTCACATTTATAGACGGCTCGACATTCCAGTCGGAGGCACCATCTGTGAATTTGCTCGGACACTCACAATCGCCGGGGGCCAGCCACACATTGGTCTTGGGTGCCTTCTATTTGCTTGGAGAGCCCCGCACTGTTGACGCGGCCCATATATGTGAAACTGCAAGGAAATCTCTACCACTCAGCGTCCTTCCATATTCGTCTTGACTCTCGATCTGCTAGGAAAGCTCTTTGTTCTTGCTGTAGCTATGCACATGTGTAGTTGCTATGCAAATTCTTATGCATAAATGCCGTATGCTACTGATAAGCCATGTATTCTTATATGGCGCCAGGGCTATTTATGTTAACCTTGCACAGACTCTTCCGGTTGTTCCGGGGCACACCACATTGGTGCTGTGTTCTACTGGTTGGTATGGAAGACCCAGCGCTGTTGACGGGGGCCCTATCTGCTGACGGAGGGCGCTCACAATGGCCACAGTTCGTAATGTCCATAGACACCGTGCGCTAACGGACACGGGTCAAACTATCTTGTGGACATTACTAGCTGTGGACATTATAATACGGACCCGTGCTGATATTCAGCGGCCGTCCACATTCGTTTGGTCACAGTTGGCCAACACTTTTAGGTGTACTTGCTCCCGAGCATTGATCAAATTATGATTTCTTCCCTCAACCCAAACAATACAATTTAGTTGATATGCGCCATAAACCATGCGTTTTCTTACCTCGGCTTATGAATAGGATCCCGTGGGCGGCTGATATCTAGAAGAGTGTTCAGCAGTTGTGTTCAGGCAACACAAACCCGACGCCAAACTTAACTCCCAGTATCTCGCTCAACCTCAACAGTTCGCGTTAGTGGCAACAGGCGTGAAGCCAGCGTCTGCCTGCGGGCGCTACCTGGGAGGTTGTCATTCTTGGCTCAGACACAATTTGGCTACGTCACAGTTTACCCTGTAACGCTCATATTCTTCTTTTCGGGGAGCACCCCTTGGCTGGGAACACTGGTCGTGGGTTTTCCCATTTCCTCCACGAGTCTATGCTGTTGGCGTGGTCGTATGTGTTAGTCGGCCTGATTAAAAATGCCGTCAATGTTCATGAGACAAGGAGCAATCTCCCGCCAGCTCACAATTATTAGCATAGGAATCCCCAGGTTGTCAGTTGTTGCAGCTGCTGGAGA